GCTCAGAACGAAGCTTGATGATAGGAGCAAGAAGTACATTTTGATCGGGTATGATGAAAAGGCAAAAGCCTACAAATTGTATAACCCTGTTACAGGTAAAATTCTGGTAAGCCGAGATGTCCAAGTAGATGAGGAAAGTGAGTGGAGTTGGAGTAACTCGGAAACGACCTCGGGGAGCTCGAACTCTGAAAGGGAGAACTCGGAGATAATAGGGAGAAGCTCGGATAGGACCAATGAGCATTCCGAGGAAGATGATGAACCTGAGCAACTTAGAACTCGGAGCTTGCAAGACATCTACAACTCCACTGACGAGTTACATGTAGTATGTCTATTGACAAGAACAGAAGACATAAAATCTAAAGAGGTGGTACTTGATGAAAGATGGAAGAAAGCAACGGATGAGGAGATCGGATCAATTGAGAAGAGTGAGATGGGAAGTAAAGCTGAGCTAGTTGAGGAGTTTAAAGAAGTGAAGAGGGAGTTTGTGATGACCGATTTGGACATCATGAAGTACTTTCTGGGTTTAAAGGTGGACCAAAGAGCAACGGGTATTTTTGTGTCCCAAAAGAGGCATCGGCCACCTCGACGCAGGGGGTGCTGGACGTTGCATGGCTCGCGGGGCCATGGTACACAGAGGAGTATCGCGCTCTGGTGGAAGAAGCATCGAAATGAAAGAAGAAGGAGAAATTTAAGATTATGGGGGAGTTTTGTTGGATAATCTTAAATTTCTAGAGATATCCGAGATATCCGAGATATTCGAGATATCCAAGATATCCGGGATATCCGATTTAGTTATCTGGAATTATTTGATTTTGAGTTATTTGGTTTCAGATTAGATAAGATAGTTTTTTGGTAAGTTTTGATTTGATAAGATATTTTATTATCTTCTTGTTAATTCAGTACGTTGTACAATGGCTATTTAAAGGCCATCTCTTATTCAATAAAAATCACAGTGAGTTGCTACGATCACCCACAATTTTAGTGTTACTCGTCTCTCTTAGTTTTTCTACACGAAGCACTCGCTTACCCTCTCTTACTCTTTTCATCCCAAGCGTGTTGTTTTTGGTTTCAAAATTGCTAACAAAATGAAAAGTATAAGGGAGAGATTAGATGAGATTGCTGAAGAAAGGCAGAAGTTTCATTTGTCTGAGACCGCTCCAGAAAAAAAGTGGAGCCAATGGGGTGGCGCCAAACCAGCTCATTCATCAATGAACCACAAGTCTATGGAAGAGAAAAAGATACAAAAAAAAATTGTAGATTTTTTAATTGGTGATGCTGATGGTTCTCATCATGAGGATTTATCGGTCTATCCAATTGTAGGTCTTGGTGGGCTTGGTAAAACAACACTAGCCAAACTCATCTTCAACCATGAGAAGGTGGTCAACCACTTTGAGCGGAGAATTTGGGTATGTATTTCAGAAGATTTTAGTTTGAAGAGAGTGACAAAAGCTATCATCGAAGCAGCATCTGGGCATGCATGTGAGGATTTGGATCTAGAGCCATTACAAAGAAGAATGCAAGATCTGCTTCAAAGTAGAAGATATTTGCTCGTATTAGATGACGTGTGGGATGATAAGCAACCAACTTGGCAGAGGTTAAAATCTGTACAGGCTTGTGGGGCAAAGGGTGCTTCAATTTTGGTCACTACTCGTCTTCCTACAGTTGCAGCAGTCATGGGAACAATGCCTCCTCATGAATTGTCAATGCTATCAGACAATGATTGTTGGGAATTGTTTAAATACCAAGCCTTTGGACATAATGAGGTAGAACAAGTAGAGCTTGTTGACATTGGGAAGGAGATAGTAAAGAAGTGCGGGGGAGTACCTCTTGCAGCAAAAGCACTAGGAGGTCTTCTACGCTTCAAAAGAGAGAGAAAAGAGTGGGTCTATGTCAAGGAAAGCAACCTGTGGAATTTACCACATGATGAAAACTCTATAATGCCAGCCTTAAGGTTAAGTTACTTAAACTTACCCATAAAACTCGGACAATGTTTTGCTTATTGTGCAATATTTCCTAAAGATGAAAAAATAAGGAAGCAATATTTAATTGAACTTTGGATGGCCAATGGATTCATTTCATCAAATGAAATACTAGATGCTGAAGAGGTTGGTGATGGTGTGTGGCGTGAATTATATTGGAGATCACTTTTCCATGATATTAAAACAGATAAATCTGGCAAAGTTATAAGTTTCAAAGTTGCATGATCTTGTTCATGATCTTGCACAATCTGTTGCAGAGGATGTTTGTTGCATTGCAACAGAAGACAATGTTGTAGCTACTTTGTCCGAAAGAATCCACCATCTCTCAAATTGTAGTGAGGAAACCATTAATCTAAGTCAGTTGCATAAGCTCAAATCTTTGAGGACCTATATTGTGATGAGGTTATTTATGGTATTTGTTTGAGAGGATATTTTATGAGAGTTATTTTATAGGGTTATTACATAAACATACTCCACAATGATGAGATATTGTCCGCTTTAGACCTTAGCCCTCACGGTTTTGCTTTTGGTCATTACCCAAAAGGTCTCTCAATCATTGAAGTATGTTTAAGCTATATAAGTTGTTATTTTTATTATATTTTATTGCTATGGGATTTGTTTGTATCCCAACAATCCTCCCCTCAAACAAAGGACTTAATCTTTCATGCAGTAGAATCTGTCTTTATATATCACTTTATCATTATCATTGAGGGGATCTAACCTTTCATGCAACGGAATCTGTCTTTATATATCACTTTATCATTATCATTTTTTTTATAAGGGTTATTGGTTGTCACCGAATCCAACCTGTGGCTCTAATACCACTGATGGGGTTATTTATGGTATTTGTCTGAGAGAATATTTTATGAGAGTTATTTTATAGGGTTAATACATAAACATACTCCACAATGATGAGATATTGTCCGCTTTGGGCCTTAGCCCTCACGGTTTTGCTTTTGGTCATTACCCAAAAGGCCTCTCAATCATTGAAGTATATTTAAGCTATATAAATTATTATTTTTATTATATTTTATTACTGTGGGACTTGTTTGTATCCCAACATATTGGTCGTTATAGTTCCAACAAGCTTTGTCCACATGTATTAAAATGTTATTCATTGCGCTGCTTCATTGTGAAGAAAGAAGACAATTGTCGTCTTCAATTGGTGATTTAAAACATTTAAGGTACTTGAATCTTTCTTGGGGCCGCTTTGAAACTCTTCCAGAATCCCTATGTAAATTGTGGAATTTGCTGATGTTGAAATTAGACGGTTGTCGAGAGTTGCAAAAGTTGCCTAACAGTTCGACACGCTTGATGGCTTTACAACAGCTATCCTTGAAGGATTGTGACAAACTATCAAGCTTACCACTTCATATAAGGAAGTTAACTTCCCTAAGGATTTTAACCACCTTCTTTGTTGGCAAGGAAAAAGGGTTCCATTTGGCAGAATTGGGAGCATTGAAGCTGAAAGGAGATCTTCACATCATACATCTGGAGAGAGTAAAAAGTGTAATGGATGCCCAAAAAGCTAATATGTCAAGTAAGCAACTAATTGAATTGGGGTTGAAATGGGAAAGGAATGATGAAGAGTCAGAATTAGAAGAAAAGGGTGAGGATATTGTTGAAGTACTTCAACCTGATACTCAACAACTAGAAAGTTTGATGGTGAAAGGATACAAAGGTGCCAATTTTCCACGATGGATGTTTAGTTCTTCTCTCAAGCAATTGGTGATTAAAGGATGTAAGGAGGTCGAAGGTTTGCATGAGGCTTTACGACATATGACAGCCCTCAAGAGGTTAGAATTAAATGATCTTCCAAAGCTAGAATTCTTGCCTGACTGCTTTGGAAACCTGTCCTTGCTTCGCCAATTGACTATTGGTTTCTGTGACAAGTTGAGGTGTCTTCCAACAAGCCTAAGTCATAGCAATCTGAATAGTTTATGGATTTATGGTTGCCATCCTGACTTAGAGAAGCGATGTGAGAAGGAAATAGGAGAGGACTGGCCAAAAATTGCTCACATTCCCCGTATTACAGTGGGCGGTGAAGGGTATGATTCCGATTGAGGTATATTCTGCATCCTATTCCTTTCATGAAGGACTTTTAATATCTTTTTGCAAACCATATATATCCAACATAGTTATAGGAAAAGCAGACAATAGAGTTTTAAAAATTACTAGAATAAATTGTTATTGTCACCAAATTTTTTAATTTTAAGTATTCAAACAAAGACAAATTTTAAGATTTCTCCTATGTTTCATTCCCCATTATGCATCATATTTCTTTCTTTTTTGTTTAAAAATAATCTCTTTAATTGACGTCAAGAGAGAGGTATTTTATTCTTTGCAATTTCAGATTTTCACTTTATTGTACAGTATTGCAGAATGCATTTTATTCTGAAACTGAAAATCATATTCTTCCTTGTGATCAGAACTCTTGCCACTTTGAGGTCCAAGATTTCAAGCTTCCACAAGCGTGTTTGAAGATTTCAGTGCTTTCTTCCTTTCATTTAAGTTCACAATGAAGTTTAGTACAAACATATATTTGTACAATGTTCAAATATTTGTATTGTTTTTCCTTTATTAGACCTCGAATGGTTTTTTTATCAATGTATTAAAAGGTGGAGCTGGGTTTATGCAATAAAGGGAAAAAATTTGATATTCATCCCATTACTGGATACCATTATAGAACTTCCTTCATGGCTAATAATGTAGTACAGAGCTGTGTATTATTTTATGCAAGAAGTATTCTCAACACACCCTACAATATGGTAGAGTGTGATTAAACGGCTATTTACAACAAAACATTGTATTGTTTGTTCCTTTGCTTATTTAACCTCTTACAGTCTTTTTATATTGATGTTATTCAAAAGTGGATTTGTATTATTTGTTGTTTCCTTTTCAGCAATTGAAGTCTTGTGTTTGCATAATTTGTACTGTCAACTTCATTAAGATTGATTTATGTGCTTGTTGATGAAAAGAGAAGAAAAGGAATTGTTCTCTGTGGAGTTTACAACATGAGAATTCAATCATGCCACCTTAAGATTAGTAACTTGAACTTGCCAATGAAATTGAGGCAATATTTTTCATTCTGTTGTGTGCATCATTTCCCAAAGATGAAAAAATAAGTAAACAAATTCTCTCATGTATCAGATAATATGGCTGCCTATATGAGGCAGAGTCCTATGATTGTGGAGTTGCCATGCCATGGGTTTCGAGGCTTTGTTACTATTGCCAAACCTGGTAAGTTTATCAAGGGAGAACATGCTTTCCAGGCTTCAAATTATTAACTTGAGCCTTGCCATGCCTTTTCAGTATAAAATTCCAAACTTGCATTACCTTTTGAACTCTGCTGCAGCGTAAGTATACGTGAGAATGAACCAAATCAGGACACAGTCCATAACATTCCAAGTCAACCCATCTGTCACCAAAACCCTGAGTAGCTGGAAACAAGCTTGTATCATCAAGCCAGAATCTTTTAGATTCTGCCTGCAACCTCAAACTGCATTCGAACACCCAAAAAAAGAAAAAAGAAAAACCACCACAACCTGTTAGTTACAAATGTGGAGAAAAATAATTATTTATGAATTTATGAATAAGTTGAATAAGAGAGCTACTAAAAACATTGAGTTGCACTAGTTAATTTTTAACTATGGGAGAAGTTTGATATGTTTTACCTCCTTAATTCTTTTCAGTTTCTACTCCTACAGCCTACAGGTGTTTGCTGAGAAATTTCTCCAAACTTACTCAAAATGCAAGATTTGCTTAGTTTTGAAAAGATATTCCTCAAATCCTGTGTTTGCTACAACACTGACATAAATTAAGATGCCACCTAGCTCACTGTTGATAGCCATTTTCTTGGATCCAACATTTCAAAGTTTTAAAAATAATATATTTAAAAGAAGAATTTGGAGAATCTTGGTTCCCACATTCTATCTTCTTTCTCATTCATCAGTACTATTAGTTATTCATTTCACTTCTGCAAGCATTCACTAAAGTACAGTGTATATATGTGTCAGAAAGTAAATCTGGTATTCCCATACTCTATCAAAAGAACAATCCCAAAGATCCTATTTGAACATTTTTACTAAAGGTCAATGGCCAAAACTCTAGAAACAGAAAGTTTACAACATAGAGAAGCAAGTATACCTCCTATTCAAGACATCCTTTCCTATTCAAGAACCTTAGTAAGATATTATATTAAAAAGTTACATTTGTTTCCATTTGTATCAATACCATGCCACAACTCCCATCCAGGATAGAAGCAAAAACCAAGCCTCAACACCAGAATCAGTACCCCGTCTGGACAAAGAAAATGAACAAAGAATAACAGAAATATTGCAGAAACATCTAGCAGTTAGAATAATACAGAAAATCATCATGTAAAGATTAATTCATCAAAAATTATATTTAGATATAATTATATAAAAACTATAAAAAGATATAGATATATCTGAAATAGAGGATGAAATTTTTAACTCCTTAAAGAATAGGATGACAGTTTTAGTCAAATACTCGGTAAGATAAAAATAAGAGATAATTATTAGCTCTTGATCATAAGATTAGCAATTTTTAATATGCTAACGCATTCCTGTAGGTTCCAAATCCAAGTTCCAACTAAACATAGATCATAAAACTTAATAAACATGGTTAGTCCACCCTCGTTTCTCCAGAAAACTGGTCATTTCAAACTTCATGCACAACTTCAAGGTAACTTAATAAACCCTTCAAACTATTAAAAAACAAAATTTCAACCATATGAATTGTATAATACATAGATGTGTTTGCAAACAAACCCAAAAATTTGGTGGAGTAGAGCTTAAACTGCAGTTTACAACCAAACAAATTCTTATTTACTTTGCATCTTCATCTGCAAGCACATACTCGGACTCATTTTTAATGATATCAGCATTCAGTTGAAATAGTGCTCTCTTGAAAAAATATAATCTATAATTCAGGAAAACTTATTCAGCCAAATAAAATTTGTAGACTAGAAGAAAATCTAACATTACCTCTTCACTGTGAGAGCTGAAAATAAAATCCTCCCTTGGAAAATTCATGTCCTTTAATCGCTTTACAAACTTTGGCAAAAATCCGTTGTGAATGAACAAAACTATTGAACCTCTTAACATAATAAAAGAAGTTTCAACAAGGAAAAAGAGTAGAATGGTAGTGAATTACCTTCTCCTGACAGAAAGAGTAAAGGGATTGTCTTTGCCATTGCACGTCACATATATTTTCAATAATGGAGATGAAAAAAACACAAAGGAACTCAAGGAATCTAAAAACTGACATAAATAAATTACTTTAACAGTTCATAACTCACATAACCTTTCAATCAATCAAAGTAAAAACTGTATTCAGTAAAAACTATACCCTCGTAAAATACACCCTATGTGACACTAAATTAACATAGAAGTATTTTTTGAAAAGCATAATTTCTGTTAGATATTAGAACATAGTGATCAGTCTTGGTTGGTTAGCACGGCATAGCGGCCAACTTTGAAAGTACTATAACATGATAAATAATTTTAAATATTATAATACAAATTAAATAACTTATAGTACATCCATATAAGTACTATAAAAAAATTAAACGAGTTCTTGATAAATAATATGCCACATTATACACACAATCACCGTCAATCTAGGAGCAATAACATTGTAAATTGTTATGAAGTCAAAAAAAGAAAGATGATGGCGAAATTAAAAGAAAAATACTAAAGCAAATTAGATAAAATTAGCAAAATGTGAGCCGGGAAGTCTAAAGGAAGAAGAAGAATGGAATGTTGTTAACACAGGAAGAAAAAAGGTCTGAAGAAACAGAGGTCAAAACAAAGGTTTCAAATCCCATTATGTTTTTTATGAAAATAATGCATTAGAAAATTGGGGAGAAAACCCAATTTTACCAACAAAAAATACTAAACTTTGTTGTTTTATTAGGATAACTAAACATCATTTTATTTACTAATATTGATTAACACGAGTGTTAGCAATTTATATATTTTAACCAAAAATTGTTGAGGATTTGAATCTTAATCTTGGGAATGAAATATATTATACTTGAAAGAAGAATAATATAATTATACAAAAAAATATCGTTTTATTTTCAAAATAGTTATTTTTGTGTTTTTTTTCCTAAAAACATCTTAGTTGAAAAAAATTGAACCCTTCCCAATTATGGGCCTTGGCCATTGGGCTTCGAAACAAGATTGTAGGCTGGCCGTGACTGCACAATTGACTAACATGATTTAGAAAAAGTTCCACGTATGCAAATGCGAATTTTCTTCACCGATGAATAAAGATAATAAGAAATCACAGTAATGATAACAACACAACAACACCATAACCAGGTTTTCAACATCATGCTTCAATTCAAACTATGGAAGCAACAAAAGAATTATATTGCAATTTGAAAGTGAAAGCAGGTAAAAATATGAGTATAACAATTACTACCACAAAAGTTTTAGATTCTAAATAAAGCTTGTAGATTACAAGATTTTTTTCATATTTATTTTATGGAGCAAGCTGGCTCATACTCATTCCACCAGATATTGAGGAATAATCACAAGCTTTTATATTATGTTATTTTATTTTATTTTCATCTCATCTTTAATTATCATTTAATCTATTATCATGGCATTATTAATTCTAATATTTTAGCCCATAAATTATACAGAGTAAATGATTGTTTTTATATGATTAAAACTAAAATTTATAACAAATAAATATTTTTGGACATATAAATTAGTAAATAATATATTTAAATATAAAAATTATATTTTGAATTTACAATAAATAATGTAAATCATAATATTAGATTATTTTATTTAGTAATTATTTTATTTTAAAAAATATTGATTTTAATTTGAGTTAGAAAATAATAGATTAAACACATACAAACAATAATTTAATATTTTGTTTATAATAATAATATACACACGTTATTTTTATTACAAATTATTACATTATTACTTTAATAAGTGAGTTTTATTTTTGGTTTCTGTAAAACAAAAAATCATCTTCTAAATCAGAAAATTAATTTTGTAAGTCTTCACTTTTATGTGACACACTGGCACTCTTTAAATGATTATCCGTTTAACAAAATATCAAGTAATCATCTTAAGAGTTTATGTTATTAATGTATGTAGAATAGTAACATGTGACACTTTTAAATTTTTTCTAAATACCTAATATAAATATTATTTATTTATCATAGAAATAAATACCGAGAGATCAAAATTAGTGATTTCATATATTTTAACAACCAGAATTACTATTTTTTTTTTTATTTTACAGGATCAAAAGAAACTATTTCTAACTTTTAAAGAGATGAAAAACAAATTAAAAATTACATTAACCATACTAAAACATGTCAATTTTATATTGATTAAAATTTTTAAATAATAATTATGCATTGCAACCAATTTCTCTATTCTACGTTACTTTTCATAAACGAGAAACGTGTTTGTTTTTTCTTCTTCGGAGTGATGAAAAACAAAATGAGAAACGTGTAAAAAACAGAAAACATACAAATATGGAAGTCCTTCATTTATGTTGTTTTCAGAGAAATTAAAAGTCCTCACCTAAATGGAGTTTTGTTTCGTTTTCTTACGACAAATGTGGGTTTGCGGCTTTGGGAATATGACTCGATCATCCATCGATAATCTTGTAAGTGGAGTATCTTTTAATAATAATATTAGTATGGCCATGTTTTTTATAAGATTATTTATAAATATTTTTAGAAGAGAAAACATGGAAGAAAATTGAAATAACTTTTTTTTTTATAATTTAAAAATAATTTATACATAAATCAAAAATAATAATTTAAAAAATAAAAAATAAAAAATAATTATACTTAAACTAATTTTAATTTATAAAAAAATTATTTCAATATATTTATTTATTTTTCTTAAAAATATTTCTAGAAGAATTTCTCTTTTATTTTATTATTTTATTTGTCACATATTTATGATCCCAATGTTAATTTCAGCTCCAATGAAACAGGCATTTACTTCAGCTTAACCAATGAGAACATTAAGGTAGCTCATGATGACTCAGTCTACACTATACACCCACATCATAAACTTAGGCAATACACACATGACATCATTCCTATGTCGTCACTGCTTTACCTAAGATCATACGTCACCATTCACCAACTCTCTTTATTTATTTTAGGCCTTCTATTTTATTTTTCTTTCTTTAAATAAACCCACATGTTCATCAAGGCAACCTTTATTTGGCTTTGTGATGCCATCCATTGTTAAATGAGTTACAAAATCAGACAAAGAAATAAATAAAGAAAAATGGGTAGAAATGTTATTTTATATATAGTATATTATATAAGAAATTGAGACAATTCAATTACGATTAAATTAATGAAGTTTGAACACATGTATCGAACTCACTTTTAAAAATTACTGGTAGTACAGTACTAGTTATTTATGATAATGAAGCTGTTTTCAAACGAATTAGGCAACGTTGAAAAATGGAGATCATTGACCACCACACTTTCATTGGATAATTTGGTCGGTTGACCCAATCCACGCGGCCCACACCATACCGTCATACGTATACGCATAGGTAGTATACACATCACTCCTATGTCGTCACCTCTTTATCTCACCCCCTACGTCACTCAAATCAATTCTTCTAAACCAAACATTTTCAGGTTATTATTTTATATATTTATCTTGTCAAACTTGTACTTTAAATTACATTTTAATTATAAATTAGTAAAAGAAGCTTATTTGTCAAGAAATTTTATTAAGACAAAAACCCTTTTAAAATAATTAAAAAGTAATTTATTTACCTTATAAACCAATCACAACCTAAGAACAATAGTTGATGAAATCGAATTGATTTCGATTTTGATTTTGAATTGCTACACCCGCCGTGCTGAAATTGAATGCAAAAGTGCAAGTTGATCGTCTTAAAAAAGGCTTGTGCGTGGAAATGCTAAACGATCTCCATAAAATATCAATAGATTTGGGAGTTCGGAACATTATCACAAATTTGAAATTTAACATTTTGTGTCTTTGACTTTTTTTATATAATTTTATGTACATGATAAATATAGTGTTTTAAAGTTAATAATTAATGATTGATTTATACTTGTGAAATATAATTTTTATTGGTTAAATATTATTTTAATATATACATGGTTAAATACTTTTTTTTGTCCTTTATAATGTTTTTTTTTTTAATTTAGTCCTATTTTAATTTTTGATCTCAATTTGGTCTCCAATAATTTAAATCGTTCCAATTTGGGACTTCCGTCCAAATGATTTAGACGGAGTTAACTAGTGGCCACGTGGATGCCACGTAAGTGGATCCAAAAATACTTGAATACACCTGGAACCAGAACGGCCCGTTCTGAAACTAGAATGGCCCGTTCTGGTTACACTATTGGTGTGTAAATTTTGCATCTGGAACGGGCCGTTCCAGATCCAAAATTAACACACCAATAGTGTAACCAGAATGGGCCGTTCTGATTTCAGAACGGGCCGTTCTAGTCCAGAATTTCAGGCACAAAAAATCAAAATACAAAGTATTTCAAACACTAGATTTGGTAATATTGTTAATGAGGATTAATAACTTCAATTGCTAAACATTTAGGCTATACAGTATATCATTAAGGATGATGCAGTGTATCACTAAGGACAATGGTAACAAGTTTTATTTCATTGTTAGTCAAACTGGAGTGAACCACTTATTACCAAATTGACACTATACAGTCAAGAATAAAACGAAACAGTGTTTTTCCTTGAAGTCATTGATGATGTACCCCAACAATAACAACCTGTTCTTGAGGAGGTACCCCTAAACCCTGAATTTTATTTTCAATTTTTGAAATACATTGCAGCATTTTAGTCAAGATTTTGAACTGAATAAATTCAAATCAAAGAAATATTTTGAAAGGTCTTATCTTATTTGATTTATTTTTTTAGTTTTATTCATAAATGAATATTAATTTATTGTATTTTTTATTTATTATATATTTATTAATATAGATATAATAAAAAAAAGAATAAAAAGCATGGCGTTCTGGAACGGGCCGTTCTGGTTTCAGAACGGGCCGTTCTACTTTCAGAACGAGCTGTTCTAGTTTCAGGTTTTTTCCAGCATTTTGGCGCCCACGTGCGTATCCACGTGGCATCCACGTAGATGCCACGTGGCCAACAGTTAACTTCGTCTAAATCATTTGGACGGTAGTCCCAAATTGCACTAATTTAAGTTATTGGGGACCAAATTGAGACCGAAA